TCAGTGAAATGTGTTTTCCCCTTGCCACTCCACAGTGACAAAGCAGCACTGGTAAGGGGGAGTTTTCTAACACTATAATGGCAAGACCCCTGACTGTGGCAGGAGGAATGTGACTGGCAGCATGGCAGTATCACTGTGATCATACTTAAATATAAGCACAGACAGGAATTCCAAAGAAGAAAAAGTGACCTGGATTCCAGCAGCATTGCTCTAATAATGTCTATTAAAATAAAAAATAAACCAAACTCAATTTAGCTTGGTCAAGAGAAGCAGAAGATGTTGCTTCCACTTGTTGACAGACGTGACAGCACAAACTTCCATTACAAAAATATGTAGAAATCAGCAAATTGCAAACTGAGTAAGTTGTGTGTTATGCCAAGAGAAATCATCTGCAGCGTAATTATAGAAGAAAATATTTGCTATACCTAATTTCAGACTTTAGGGAGAATAACTAATTTCCTGCCAGCTTGTTTTCAAAGGCTCTAGATTTTAACAGACAGGCTTGTGAGTGATTACCTGTTTTTTCTCCCCATCCCACCTCCCCTCCTCACTTCCATGTACAATACCAGAAAACCACAAAGTGCTGAACAATATTGGCGTTGTTCTTAACTTCAATTTAAGAGCAATATAATTCAGTTTCTTTCCAAAGCATTTGTAGAGAAATAAATTATTGACTCTATCAGCACTGGCTTTAAATATCTCACTGGCTTCTGTATCCAGTTCAGCATTTCCAGCCTCCAATTCAATGCAGCCTCTACCACTACCACTTCTTCCACTGCTCATAATTTTTCCATGCCATTTTGCCCAACTATCTCTCTTGTTTTTTTATTTTCTCCCTTACTTTCTTTGCTCCCTGTGCTTAGAACTTTTCCTTTCTTTGTCTGACAAACAAGCATTATTTTCTTTCTCCTAAACAACTGACAAAAACCATGTCTAAAGATCCAGTGAATTTCTATTAGACATTTCAAAGTAATTTGCTATTCTGTATCCAAGTATAGTGGTAATGCTGTTGCATTATAGTCCATCATCTAGGTCATCCAGGTCCCAAGAAATCAAACCAGAAATTAAATTAGACGCTCATAATTAAAGAGCAAAAGCTTAAGTGCCTGCAGTTCCGATTGCCTGCAAGATAAATGCTTATTATGGAGCATTTTGGAGAGTTTCATGACTTATCTAGGTGACTAAATATCAAATTTGGATATTTGTTTTGGATGCTGCAATCCCCATTTTTTACTGACTTGATTATCACTACTTGCAGCCCATTGCACACTGGCTCACCTGTCTCAATTTCCATTACTAGCTTTCCTGTGTTCTACACAAGGCTTGACACCCTGACACGATCCCTGACAACAAGTTATCACTACCAGTTGTTTAATCTTGGAACTGAAGTAGCACATTACTTCAGCAGTAAATGAATGAATGAATTGTGAGAACAGCCTGTCTGCTGACCCATGAAAACAATTTCGCTTTCTTTCAGGCCGAGAAGATTTAAATCTTCAGAGACTCAGATTTTCATCTGCTTTTATTTCCAAACTGAATCAAATTACACAGATGTGTGAGCTGGGAGCCACTTTCTAAATATGACATGCCTTCCCTCCCATTAAAAAGATGAGATTCTTTACAATATTAAGCACTTGGTGCACAAAGTTAAGTATAAATTTCCCTATATCACATTCTTCTCTTACTTCTTTTCGAAAGGAAATGTCTGCTGTACCTTGGATCTTGGCCGGAGAGTACAATATAGGCAGCGAGTGTTGTCTGGGGAACTGATGACCTTCAATGAGCAAAAATCCCTGAAGAGCAAGTGAAGTGCAACAGGTGCTTGTGGGGCATGTGTTTGAAATTAAGATGAATAAACACCTGCTGAGGACTTTTTTGTGAAGACTGTGAGGGGATAAAAACCCAGGGCTTCCTTTGTTCGGGGTCCCTCCTCGGAGGCACCACACTCAAGCTGTCATTCTGTTATTGCATGAAGATTAAATTATTTTAAGGATCCAGATGTCTGAGCCTCTGCTATGGGAAACCCTGGCTTGAGCCAGTAAGGAAACCTGGTCTGACCGTGTGAGTGTGGGATGTGTAGGGAGTCAGGCAAGGCACCCATTGACTCCGTGGAGCCGCCCGCTGCAAAAGGGCTTTGGCCCAAGTGTGACTGACAGAGTAGGTCCTGAGTGGTCAGACTGGAAAGTTTCCTTAAGAGTAATGACTCCTTCTAATGAAAGCCTTGGCTTCTGTGACACATCCACTTGCTGGCTGCACATATTTGTGAATATATTTTTATCCTGCATTCTCGTACAGAGTGCTTACCAGTCTTCTCTGGACTGCTTGTCATCTTGAAGGAATCTGGGGAAGGGAGGCAGAGTGAAAAACACAGTTCCTAAGTTTAGAATCCAAGACTTAGTTTATGTTTTATTTTAAGTTTATGCAGAGAGACCACCCTCCATTAAGGCTCATTATGCTTGGGCATTCAATGCAAATTCAAAATTTTTATTTTCAGGGTTTGCTTTCCCTTGTGAACTAATGAAGATCCTGCTTTACTGCTGCTGAACACACTGACAAGGTACAGCCACTTACATGGCAACTGTTGAGCTATCAAGACCACCTTCTACCTGATCCTGGTATGTCTCATATTTGCATCCCTTGCTACGCCAGGAAACAACCCAGAATTAAGACAGGAAACAAAAAACAACCAAATCTCACATTTACTGCTCTAAATACTACTATACCTGGCCTTCCCAGGCCTCATAGGAATGGGTTCTAAATTGCTGTCCCTTGGGTAGCACAGACCATTGGTGAACAGTATTCTGCATTCCTCAAAAGCCTGAAAAGCAACCACAAGAGCTGACAGCAGATACCCAGAACTGGAAAGGACTGGGCCAAACAGTCCATTGTCATGTTGCTGCAGACACCACATCATCTAAAGACCACATTACTTTCAACTTTTGCTTTTGGTAAGAGGCTATCCATAGGCATACCTTTCTGACACAAAGAATTAGTGCAGACTAAGACCTATAGATCAAGGCATCCTGGGGAGAAAAATGACCACCCAGGTTGGGTATGAAATTCTTATTTTGAATAGCAGGATCTAGGGAGAATGCTTGCATCAGTGTTCCCATGACTTTGGTGACAGCGGATTGTTCATCTTGAATTTTTCTGGTTCCAGCTGAGAATAGTCTCCAGTTCTTGGAGTTCATAGCATGCCTAAGTGAAAGCATAGAAGGAACAGTGAAAGAACATGGAAGAAGAAAGAATATTTAGCACTTCTCTCCGATCTCTATAGCATGCTATACACACTGAGCTTCACAGTATCTCACTTGTTTGTATGGACAAAGCACAGCTGATGTTCACCTATGGCCTGATATAAAATCAGCTTAGAAGGGGATTTAGAATACAGGCCCTGTTTGCTCTCCCTTATAAACAACACAGCAGCAAAGCCTGAAGGCTGAACATCTTGTCTCCAGCATCTGCCAGCTGTGAAGGGTTACAATAGAGCACAAAACATCAACGCATACGCAGAGATCCTTGAGACCCTCTCACTGCTATTCCCTTTCCCTGCATCCACTCATCAGGAACTTACAGACTGGAGGTTTAATATTTCATCATTTCCTAGAAAGGACATGTTAAGTGATCCATGGAAACAGATGACTGTGAAAGTAAGAGACAAAAAGAAGAAGGAAAATACAGATGTGGAAGCAAGCAAAGAGTAGCCAGGTAATAGGAACAGAGTGAAATAGAGCTTAACACGAGTTTTCACTGCTGTGTGAGCAGCACGTATTCTCTGAGCCTTCAGTCTCCCAGTCACTAAGGACAGCCTCGTGGCAAACTCTGTCTGGAAGTGATGGATTCTTTCCAGAGTGCGTGAGTGGCTCAACTGCCTGTGTATTTGTGTAAACTCTTTTAAGTGAATAGTGTGGCCAGAATGGTGAGCGGTGATCTGAAAACCTCAGAGGCCTAGGAACTTTGCATACATCATCATGGCTTCATTTATGCTTTTTCTGCTTCTTAGAGCAGAGGATATGTGTTATACACATTAGCACATATAAGAAAAGGTCCAAGTAAACAAATGTAAACATGTAAAATGCATATGTGTGAATTCAGGGAAGGAGGGCAGGAACTGGGTTTGAAAGAGAAGGGGCTACAGCTTGCAGGAGCCGCATTTCCTGCAAGGAGCAAAACTATTCTCACCTATCATCCATTCTGAAATTGCATTACAAAGCTGTGTCTTGGACTCATCAGCACTGAAACATGATCTTGGGAAACCAGCACAGAAGCAGATATACAAGGCTTGACTCAGCAATGAAGAGAAAAAAATAGGGTTTAAGGGGAAAAAAGGCAAATCTAAATACTTTTTAGTTAAGAGATCACGGACACACTGTTCTTTTGAATAACAAAAACTACATTTCAGCTAAAGCAATGACTGCAGCTTTGAAGAGCCAATAATTAAGGAAAGAAGTACATGATTTGGTAAAAAAGAAAGGATGAAAACGTTTCTCCTTCCCCCTTTCTTTAAAGGTCATGTTAGCAAAACAGAACAATCAGACAGACTGTTAGTGCAGATATTTAGAACTTTTCGGAGACAATAAAAGCCAGCTGTGAAAAGTGAAAGAAAATTAAGAACCCAGGAATAAGTAACTAAAAGAGAGAAGGCAGAGGCAAAGAAGGGGAAGGCATATTCATTGGGTAATAGAGGGCAGACGGGAGTGACTAGAAGTCAAACCTGTGCTTTACTTCATTTTATTATTTTACTTAAGTCACTAAGAGCTTTACTATCCAGAAGACAAAGGCATGAACTTTCCTGGCTGTCACTGAGGGATTCAATGCAGGGATACCATCTGTGACACTCCATTATTCCCAGAACTTACAGTACAACTAATAGTTGGATATTAGGATTCCTGCAATAATAATAGATTCTAATAATAGATGCCTGCACAGTACTCTGAAAAATCTATGTTTATAGATAAGTATTAATTTCAGATTACTCCTGTGGGGATAGGTTTCTCTACCTCTTTTTGCTGTCCTTGTGCTTTCTTTGCCTAGCCGTAAGCACTGGAACGAGGGCCTCCTGGTGGTGGAATCGGCGGCAGTCAAGCAGGAGGAAAGCACAATTCTTCGCAAAGCGGTGAAACGGCTGTTCTTTTATCTCTTGAGTTGGCTATAATGAAAAGAAGAAACACAGAGAGAAAAAGATGTGTCTGCTTTGTCAGTAAAATATAGGTGATGTATTTAATATCTAGGATACTAAAAGAAGGGATGTCATTAACTGCAGAGCACTGAGGCAACAGGAATTACCTCACTACTGAAAAAAATTTAATTGGGCAGGGAATTAATTTCACTATCCCAAAATAGGTTTTATAGGTCTCAAAATCAGTCTCATTTAGCCCACCAGGCAATGTAGCAAGTTTCAAGCAGCAATAATTACAATAAATACTCTTTTTTACATCAGAGTAAGCTTAGAGTAAGCCTACTGAACTCACCAGTCAGTGGGGGTTCCCTAAAATTATTGATATAACAGAGAACAATAATAATCCCATAGTGTATATGAAAAAAGGCAAGAGAAACACTATGGAGTTAAAAGCAGCTCTGAGACTACCTAAGCTGTAGATTCTCTATCGCTTGTGAACCAAAAAAGCTGAAGAAGATGCTCCAAATTAGGCTACCAAGAACAGCTTGGGTCTATTCCAAAACTTCCACATTGCCATGTGCTGCAGCCCCATCTTCATCCTGTCAATCTCCCAGCCTTCCACCAGTGTTCCCAAAGATGTCTTCGTGAGAACATACACAGCTTCCTTGCACAATGACTGTGATATGCAGTTTCTTCGCCATTTAATGAGCTTTTGCAGGACCTAAGTGATCTCTAGTTATTGTCCCGGCAGAGAGTGTGTGTGCTGGGCATTCACTTCCCCATAAAGCACCAGGCACTGTACTATGCCATGATGCTTTTAGCATCGTTCAAAATCATATGTCAAACTACCCCCTGGCAGGAGAACAATGCAATACATCGAGAGGCAGTGCTCGAAACAGCAATGGTCAGCTCTTGTCTCGGTATCTACCTGATGTGAGCAGAGAAACAACTATGAAAAGCTGCTGCCAGAATAGCCCAGGAGGTTGGTGCAGCAAGGAAATTCCACAGCATTTTTCAAGGAAATGGAGTCTGGCAAGAAATGAAACTTAGTAATGCCATGCCAAAGAAGAAAGATTCCTTAAGCAAATCACAGCGGAAATCAGACACTGAACCTCTTTCTCTCAGTCTCCAGGAGAAGCTTTCTGAACTCTCGTTCACAAGCCCTACCAACTGTGAGACTATTCACACAGGTATTACCCACCATGCACACAGCCATCAGGCACACACAGAAGGAAGCATTCACCCCACGTGCCAAAGTAGTAGGGTTGGGCTGCCTGGCCTTTTCAGAGTCTCTGCTCCACAGAAAGAGGCTGTCAGGGAATCACGGTGAGACCCTGGATACATGAGACAGTTTAATTTTACAGTAACTATAATGAATTACTTCAATACTCATCCTGCTCAGTGCAAGGAGAACTCAGGCAACAAGTGGGCTGAAACATAGAGGTTTCTTCTAGGAAGGTGAACATTACTCCCCCTGTGTTATTGGCAGGGCATGTCCTGACCGGCGCTTCTTGACATCTGTCATTGGTCCCCCTCCCACCCCTGCAATAAAAAACCCCTTAAGTGTTTACAAAGGAAACATATGTGCCTTTGTTTCTGAGCAACTCAGGGAGATGCATCTCTCACCTGGAGCTCTTCAGGTCTGAGTATCTGTTTGGAAACTCAGAAATTTTCAGTGCATATAATGAACGAAAAAGAAGAAAGTGAGTGTTAAGATCTCAGCCCCTCATTATCCTATGTGGTCTTTGGCTCTTATAAGCACCCAGGATAGCTGCATTTTTTTTTTTCAGTTCAAAACTCTAATTCTACATTCTCTCAGCTTTTCTTCCAAGACTCTTGCCCTCATTTATGTGGACCTTCATATTTCTTATCCAATGGGTATTAAATGCTGATAGAAGCCATGACTACTTCACAAAGACTTTGCTCAGAATGGCAAGTTTTTATTCTACTTTTAAGGGTGTTGGTTTCCCCACATACAATATAATCACTTCTCTTACTGCAAAAATCACTAATTTCCAGTGCACAGACTCTAGTACACCAGGTCAGAAGGCCACTGTGTTTATAGCATGTATCCTGCAAGAAACAGACATTGCTTAACTGGACTACCAGAAGATAGTGCAGCACCAGAGATTTTTCTTGTCTCTAGACACCGGGTTTAATTGTGGTATCTTTTCAATTTTCATTCCAAGTGAATCATTTTCTGGTTCACTTCAGGCAGGGTGCCAATTAAGCACTCTGAGAATGAAAGACTGTTGGATTTTTTTTTTCCCCTGGAGTATTAATACATGTACAAACCAAAGTAAAAGGTTGGTGATTTTCTTCTTTTCTTCTCCTTTTATCTGCCTGCCCCCCCCCTTTTTTTTCTTCTTTTCTTTACTGTTCCCTTTTAACCAAAGTCAGCATCTTAGTATCTCATTCATCTAAAATTTTCAGGAAAGCCCCAGGAAGTCCTCAACAGAAGCTTTTCTAACAATGAAGCAAGTAAATTCAGATCACTAAATTCTAACATATTGGAGAAATATTTTATAATTTAGGAATGGCATTTTGCCCCTGCAATATAAAAAGTACTGGTGATATCTGCTACATACCCCTGCTGTTCATTTAAAATATTATCCAAACTAACTGCCACAGCCACCTCCTGTGGAATACAAGCCAGCAAGTAACACAATAAAACTAAATGTATTCCATCATGTGCTGAAAGGGAGGACTTTGCAACGTGTGCAGGAAATCAGGACGCTGGGACTGCTTCAGAGAAAGGCATGTGAGGAGCTGCTCCTGTGAAGTCACTGTGCCTGGAGGTGTGTAAGGAAAGACTGGACGTGGCACTTGGTGCCATGGTCTAGTTGACACGGTGGAATTCGGGCATGGGTTGGACTCGATGATCTCAGAGGTCTTTTCCAACCTAATTGATTCTGTGGTTCTGTGGGATACTTCCCTCTTCAGCTCCTCACCCATCATCCCCTGAACACACGCAGTCCAGGACTCCAGACCTCCTCCACTTTTTCTCCCATGTTCCCAAGCAAGGAAGGGTTCTCTGCCTAACGGCTTATAGGTATTTATCTGAAAAACAAACAACAAACAAAAATCCCACCCAAAAGAATTTTAGAAAGTCTTCCAACCGACTCAAGCATTTTCGGGAGGGTGCCAGGGAAAGCGCGGATAGCACATCACAACTTTGACGCGAGAAGAGCCCCATCCACCGCCCCAGCCACTCGCCCCCGTCTCCCGACCACGGGAGGCGGAGCGGACCGGCGGATCCCGTCGCCACGGCAACGCGGCGGCCGCAAACCGCTCCCGGGACACGCGGCGGATCCCACTGGGGACGGACGGGGAGCGCCGGGAGCCAGCGCGGCCCAACGGAGAGGTGCGGGGCCCCCCCGTCATTGAGGCGAAGCCCGATGGAACAGCCCGGCCCAACCGCCCCCGCAGCGCGGGGCTGACCCTACCACTGCGGGGCGGGGGTGTTCCTCGTCGGTTCTGCTCTCGCCGAGCCCGCTGCTTTCGCCAGTGAGATGCCGGGAGGGAAAACAGAACAAAGGAGCATCCCGATGGCGGCCCGTGCGGGGAATAACGCCCTGCGGTGCTCCTCTCGCAGCTCCTCGGCGTGCCCGTAGGGTGGTACGGCCCGTGCCCAGCCGGTGCCGGGGGATACCGCGCGGCGCGGGGGATACCGGCCGAGGGCAGGGGGCGCGGGCAGGGAGGGGACACAGGTGAGGAGAGGGCACAGGTTGGGAGGGGGCACAGGTGAGGGCTGGGGGGGCTGTGACGCTTTGCACCCTCTGTCCCCCATCCCAGCTTGTTCACGTGGCAACAGAGGTGCGACGGAGGTGCCCGTGGAGGGCCGGTGCTGCCGGGCAGTGGTGGCGGGTGGGCAGCCAGGTACCCCCCAAACCACCATCTCAGCCTCTCTGAGAGCCAGGGGGGCACTGCCTGGGGAGAAAGGGTGCGAGGGCTGGTGTTGGGTGGAAACCGGGCAGCGTCAGTGCTGGAAAATGGGCAGCTGAAGCAAACCTCTCCCCTGCCAACGTAGCTGCCTTGTCACATCACTGCTCCTGTCCCACAGCCTCAGACCAGCCCTATCCCTCCTGCTCTTTCAGGGAGCCTCCTGGAAGCCCGGCCAGCAGCACGTGATGCCCCTGTTTGGGAACTCCTTCAGCCCGAAGAAGACCCCCCCCAGGAAATGGGTCTCTCTCTCCAACCTGCACTTTGTGAGTCCCAGTGCCCATGGTTTGCTGCAGGAGTACTTGCTTGGTAACCGGGGTGGGTGGCTCCTGCTGTGAGTACCGTAACCCTTACAAGAGCTCCCAGCTTCTTCTGGGAGAGGACTAAGTTCTTCACCCAGAGGGTGGTCAGGCACTCGAACAGGCTCCCCAGAGAAGTGATCACGCCACCAAGCCTGACAGAGTTCAAGAAGCGTTTGTACAACACTCTCAGACATGTGGTGTGACTCTTGGAGCTGTCCTGTGCAGGGCCAGGAGTTGGACTCGATCCCCGTGGGGTCCTTCCAACTCAGGATATTCTATGATTCCAGCTGTGCTGCTCTATTCCTGCAGTGCAGCCCCATTTCTGATCACCAGTGACCATATATAAAACTAGAAATGGAATAGCTCAGGGAAAGATCATTGTTACCCTACATGCAGTCCAGAACCATTTCACTGAAAACTCCTCACCAGTGGTCTTCAAACCCAGGGAGATGAGTGTGTGTTTGGGTGGGAGAAAGTGCAGGGATGGTAGTGAGAAGCCAGTTGTCTACTGCAGCAGTACATGACCAAGCAGGATTCCAGGATCCAGGGCCATTTGGACCAGCATCTTCCATTTTAATGCCAGTCACTAAGAAATGGGAGAGCAGGGGGTGGCTTGGAATTCTGCGGAATGCTGAGTGTGATCTTCTCCCTGCAGATGGATAGATCCACCCGTGAGGTTGAGCTGGGCCTGGAGTACGGCACCCCCTCCATGAACCTTGCTGGCCAGAACCTGAAGTTTGAAAATGGCCAGTGGGTGTCAGGTAGAGTGCAGCTCAGCTTGTTTTGGTCTGAAGTAGCCACGGTTGGCTGACAATCTATATTTTGACCTCTTTCTTTCCTCCCAGAATCAGGAAGCTTCACGGGGGATCGCAGGGAATTGCAGCGCTTGCGCAAACGAAACCAGCAGCTAGAGGAAGAAAACAACCTCCTTCGGCTGAAGGTGGATATTCTGCTGGACATGGTGAGTCTTCACCCTATTCCTGCCTGCCCATAGCAGTGGAGATTCCTCGGGGAAGGGCCAAGTGAAGGGTGCTGGGACTGCTGAAGGAGGCTGCTCCCACTGCACCTTGCTTTCTGCCTTACCCTGCTGTGCAGCATTCATGTAACAGTGAAGTGACTGGGAGTAGAGCCTGATCTGCTCTGTGAGGAGAGAGAAAGGTTCCCCCTGCACCAGAGCTTGTTGTGAATGCTGTGGCTGAGGAGAGGGCAGCGCCTGCAAGCGCCATGTCTCCTCTTTCCCCTTCTGCACAGAGAATGGCATTTTTCTTGCCACTCTGGCCTCTGCCCTAACTGTGACACTGAGTTATAACCACCCTCTCTGGTCACAGAGGATTAAAACTTCCATCTGCTGTCATGAGGGACATGACATCTGTTCTGTGTTTAAACTTGTGGATGAAATAATTCCCAAGCCCTAAATAAACCAAAATTCAGCCTTATCCTAAGATCACAACTTTTGTGCTTAAAATCTGGAGAGACTTTCAGTGAAATAGAACACGTGTATTCTCCGTCTATTAAGTGATTTAGCCTTTATGTCAGTCTGGACAAATACTCATTCCTTTATTTTCCTTCCTTACTCTTCACATGTTTTGAAACTGGCAAGTGGCTTTTGTGGCTGGAGCACTGAGCAGAAACCCTAGCTGTTCTCCAGGTTTTCCGGGTGATCTCAGTGAAGTGTGACATGGCAGCTTCCCCCTTGCTCAATAGGAACAAATTCCCTTCTGCAGGTCCTGGCTCGCAGTGGCAAATTTCAACTGTGCTGTGAAGTCAGAGAAGCCTCACAAGCTTTTAACTCACTCTTGTCATAATTTGCTATGTGTTGCAGCTCTCCGAGACCACCGCTGAGTCCCACCTGATGGAGAAGGAGCTGGAGGAGCTGAAGCAGCACAGCCGGAGGAGGAAGTGAAGAAGAGGTGGCTGGAGAATGGGGCTGGCTCTGGGTCTTGGCACACAGGATGCCAGGGCCAGCTTGGGCCTCCCAGCCACGTTGGTACTGTGTGTAGGTACTTTGTTTCATGGGACCAAGAGTGACGAGATGCCTCCAGCATTGTGCAGTGCCGTGATGTTGCTGATGGTTGGTTTGGCACCGCAGCACTGTTAAAATTAACACGTTTTTTCTCAGAGCACTTTACCTTGCAGCAACCCAGCATAGATACCCTTCTCTCCAAGGCAGCCGGACAAGGGCGGTGGAGAAGATCCCTCTCCGTGCGGGCTCCTCCTTGCCTTAGGAAGGCAGGGAAACCCCTGCCCCCTCCAGCCTGTCCCCCCATGGGGAGCCCGCGGAGGCTCGTACAAGCCTCGCCGCCTGCCTTGGGCGAGCGGGATGCTGGAGTTGCGCGTTCTCGAGGGTTTTGCATAATCTACATAAAACCTCGCCTTTAAAACACGATCTGTGGGTGTTTGTGTCGGTCGCGGCTGCGCTGGGGGCGCGGCGGGGGTCCATCGTTCCTCGCGCGCCGGGGCCGCTGCCTCCCCGGGGCCGGGCGGCGGGAGGGCCGCCCCGCTTCCGGCGGCGCTCCGCCGCCGCTCCCCTCCGTCCTGTCTGGTGGCGATGGCGGCCGCGGCGTCCCCTGTCCCGGAGGAGCTGCTGCCCAAGGGCGGCGCGGGCAAGGCCGAGGAGCTGGAAGACGAGCTGGAGGAAGAAGAGGAGGACGACGAGGAGGTATCAGGGCGAGCGGCGGCGTGGCGCGGCGGGCGGGCCGGGCGGGCGCGGTGACCCGCGGGGCCGGGCGGCAGGGCCTGACACGCTGGTGCCGCCCGCAGCTGGACGAGACGCTGGCGGAGCGGCTGTGGGGGCTCACGGAGATGTTCCCCGAGAGCGTGCGATCGGCGGCGGGGGCTACGTTCGACTGTCGCTGACGGTAGCGCAGAAGATGTACAGGTGAGGGGGCGCGGAGCCCCTCGAAGCGGGCCCGGCTGGCCGGGGCGGCTTTGGCGCGGGTAGCGCAGTGCGGGGCCGGCGGGCAGCGGCAGGGCCGCGCTTTGTTTCTGGGCGGCGCGAGGAGGGCGGGGGTAAGGTGCCACCTGGAGCTCGGGGGTGGATTTGGGGGAAGGCTTTTGCCCGTGGCGCAGAAGGGAAGCGTGGGAAGGGAAGTTGGTAAGAAGTGACTAAAGAACTGATTCTAAATCCTAATGTTCTTTCTCCTTGCTAGATTCTCTAGGGCAGCTCTGTGGATTGGGACCACCTCCTTCATGATTCTGGTTCTTCCTGTCGTCTTTGAAACGGAAAAACTGCAGATGGAGCAACAGCAGCAGCTGCAGCAGCGACAGGTGAGGCGGGAACAGCCCAGCCCTCTCTCCTAGCCCTGCAAAGTCGGCTGGGAGTGCCAGTGCCTCCCCCTGTGACCAGCTGCTGCGGGAGAGGAGTGCACTGTTACACACTGTGGCCTCACTCATCCCACCAGATTCTCCAGCTGGATGTTCCGGTGGGACAATCTGGCAAGCACAACCTGGCTTTCTCCAGCTGAGATAGGCTTTGAGGGACTGGAATAGCTGAAACAGGGGCTGTGGTCAGACACTGACCTCGGCTGTGGCACTGCCAGTACCTGTAGGAGGGGGGACAGGGTGGGAATCCTTCCTGTGTCCTTGAAGCCACTCAACCAATTGTTTTCCTTTCAGATCCTCCTTGGACCCAACACAGGGCTCTCAGGGGGAATGCCAGGGGCCCTGCCTCCGCTGTCTGGAAAAATCTAATTTGCAGAAGCTGAGTTGGATTCATATCAAGTGGGAAGACCTTGCGATTATGATATATTGAACTGTTGATTTGTTGGGTCAGGGCATTTTTTCCTTTTGTTTGTTTTTGGTTTTGGTTCTCCTTTGGGACATTGACCTGTTCACAACGAGGGGGGGAAGCCCCTCCTCTGGACCTGATGACGGTTCCTGTCTGCATCCCCCCTCCTGTAGAAATCATGAGTATTTCCTTTTATTCAATCACTATGCCATAACCAGGTACTGA